GCTAACATGACCCACCATACATTTTAGTTTCTTCCAAGAACTGTTAGCCTAAAGAACACAAGAAGCCTAACCATCGCATCAAGAACAACCTTTGAAACAATACACTGTCTTAAAGCTTAGTCTAGTAACTTATCTTGACACCAATAAGGTCCAATCAAATACTCTGTACCTTACAACCCAAGCGACTGGTGCCCAAGTTCAGAACACATTGCAACTGACAAAGCTATTGAAACAAAGGGAAAATAAAAATAAGTGTCTGTAAGTAAAATACTCAAAATGAAATGAAAACAAAAGACATATAGAAGAGGAAAAAGAGCAACAAGAAAACAGGGTAATAATTTAATTTCAGCATAACAATAACTCCCATTTGTCAACTGTAAAAAGAACCATTCCTTATTTGTAATAATTAATTACTAAATCATGGCTCCTAACAAGCAATTCAGACACTAAATTTAATGTAATATATAACTCTTAAAAAGCAACCAAAGCAGAGATTAAAGTAGAAATACCAAACTACAATAGAGTGCCAGCAGTCCTTTACATTTTAGCTTCCTACTGTTTATAAAGGAAGTTTTCCCGATTTGCTGGACTTTGAGGCATACCAACTAAGAGAGGTTGGGGTACAAACATGTTGTTGGATACCATCAAGTCTAGTTTCGACTCACAGCAGCTCCAAGAGACAGAGTAAATTGCCCCATGAGGTTTTCTAAGGTGTAATTTTTATGGGAGTAGATCACCGGTCTCTCCCAAAGACCCACTGGTAGTTGCTAACCACCAACCTTTTAGTTAGTAGCTGACAGTATAATTGTCATGTCACTAGGACTCCTTGGGGTATGGAGGGTACTTGTTTTTTTTCACAATGTATTCTTCCTGCATAATAGAGTTTCAAAAATATCATGGAAAAATTCTATTATCCTTTAATTCCATTTTTCATAAACTTTTTAAAACCCCCTTTGTGTAATAAATATGACTCAGAATGCAACTTAACACAAACATACTGAATAATCCTATTATTTCACTTATTTTAAATGAGTCCTACCTTTCCAGGGTCATCCTTGGATCGAGGCACTTTAAGGAAGCACTTGTTCAGTGACAGATTATGCCGTATTGAATTCTGAAATGGAAGAAGTTTAAAAAAAAACAGGGTCAATGGAATCCAAAAACCAAAGTTCACTTTTAATATAGAAAGTAATATAAATAGAACACGCTTTTAAAATAAGACTTTTTAAAATCTGAACCTTTCTGATTTTCAAATTATGAGTGTTGCAAAGAGAAACAGTTGTTAGATCAGACAATGTCTAGTGGATTTTACAAAAATCCATAAAAATGAAATATTGGGCTTCCAAAACTTTGTGGGAAAATTACACTATCTTTCAATTCCATTTCTCCATGAATTTTTGACACTACCTCATATGTATATTTTAAATACTCATTAAGATCTTTGAATGATGCAGGAAGATCTCTACTAAAAAATATTAATGGTACACTCTGCCAAAGAAGACAAAGGCCTGTCACCTTTCATGGATCTTACAGAGATAAAAACTTAAGCTGCTGAGATAAGGGTAGCAAAACTTCCCAACCACAGGGCCCTCTGGCAAAGATCCACTGCTTCTGGGGCAAGCACAGAACCAAAATTCTTCTATCTCTAGGGAGGTTCAGCAAACTCTCCCAGGACACAGGCAAAGATTTACTGTTACTGAAAAAAAAAGGGTAAGCAAAAATCCTTTGGGAGAAGGGTAAAAAATTGCCTTGGGCCCAGGACTCTCTATCTATTCCATGAAGAGGACCCATTTACAAATACAAATATTATTTATCTCAACCACTACTGTACTCTACACATGTATCTGACACTCAGTACAAAATTGTAGGATACACAGAAAAGCAAGGAAAACATGTACTGTCATGAGATAAAGTAATCAATAAAACTCAACTATCATCAAAGTGCAAGTCCTGGTGTGATATTATGGGTTAATGTGCTGGACTACAAAGTTGGTTTGAACTGCAAGGTCAGGAGTTCAAGCTCACCAGATGCTCCTCAGAAACCCTACATAGGGTCACTATGGGTTGGAACTGATTCTATGACACGGAATTAACAACAACAGCAAAGCTGTTGTTGAACAGACTAGCTATAAGGGAAAATTTTGGTATCTGTGTACCAGATAAAGGACCTCACATTAAAAATATATGAGAGGGCTTCAAAAAGTTCATGGAAAAATTCCACTATCATGTCCTTCCATTATTCCCAAGAACTTTTTGAAAACATCTCATATATAAAAATTTTACCACCTGACAATACAATCAAAAACTTGACAAAGGACTTGAATAGACAGTTCACCAAAGAGGATAACATTCACATGGCCAACAGAACATGTAAGATGCTCAACATAATTAGCCACTAAAACCCACTGCCATCCAGGCAATTCTGATTCACAGCTATTCTAGATAGGGTTTCCAAGACTGTAAATCTTGACGAGAGCAGAAAGGCTGGCAGTTCAAACTCACCACCTGCTCCTCAGAAACTCTACTCAGAGTCGCTATAAGTCAGAACCAACTCAATGGCACTTAACAACATCAACAAGAGTTGGGAAGCATATTGAGCTTATGTTAATGGTAAGAGAGTATTCTGAAAAATGGTAATGATCATGGTGGCACAACATGAAACCTGTAACCAATGTCACTGAAATAGAAACGTAGAGGTTGATGTACTAGAGAATGTTTTAATGTATTTATTTTCACCACAATTTAAAAAGAAAGATGACTCAGGAGTTAAAACTATCAGAAGGGAATTTAAAAATAACTATGCCTTCAATAGCCTCCTATCAACCTGGCGTGAGATCTGGTTGGCCAGCAGTATAGTGAGAACTGGGAGGCTCCTGAGCCCATGGACAGGGACATAGCCACAGAGGACTACAGCGGATAGTGAAGCGTCCAGCTGATAAGAAGTGAGGGGAGATGCACAAGAACACCCAAACTGGTAGATAGTACCCATTCAACCTAGCTTCAATGGTTGGATGACAGAACTCAACTAGAGGAAGAAAGAAGAGGAAAAAAATGTAATCTGCTACAATTTGGTGAACTTGACCTATATTTATGGAAGTAATAGCTTAAAACAGGGAAGGAATCTTCACAGCAAGAATCATTCCCACCCCCTCTGGTTGACAGGGATGAGCAACTTAGACACTGACTACCTAAAATGGGGGAACTAAAATGGCACAAAGTGACTGGCTTACAAGTTTTCAAGAGGGAGTTTAGTTTCAGAGGGCGTGGGGAAGGTAGAATCTGCACTGAGTGGTTTTCAACCTGTCTAGACAGGGTTGCTGAAAGGAGATGGGGATAAGACTCTGTGGTTCAATAGTGAGTAATTGTTATCAGAACTGATTGCAATTGTTGCAAATGTAAAGGTAGACGTTTTGGATGTTTTGTAACTAAAAGAGTTAAGCGGTTGATCTTGCAGTCCAGGAGCAGAGGACCCTGGGACCATAAAGGGACAACAGTTAGGAGCAGAGTATGGGACCCTATTCAGAGAAGCAGCAATGTCAGAGATGGAGACAGAGATGATGACGTGGAGAGATGGAGCGTCTGGGGACTCTAGACTCATGGAGGGAGAGGGGCTGTATGTTGGTGGCCAGGTGGCAAGCTTACAGGGTATGCACTATGGTTCTTTGATTAATTGTATATTCCTGAGTGTTTTGGTGTGCATCACCCCCCAACCCTACCCCCACCCCCCAAAAAAAACATATGCAATAGAAGCAAATACTGTTGAATGATGATGCATGGAGGGGATTATAATCATTGCAATGAAATGAAATACGATAGGATGAGTATAAACCTGATGCTCTCCCATGTAAGCTATCACTCAACTCACAATAGAAACAAAAAAATAAAATCACTATGCACTGGTGTAGCGCTGTAGGAAAAGCACTGGACCACAAGGCTGGTTTGAACTACAAGATTGTCGATTCAAACTCACCAGTCATGCCTTAGAAACACTCTACAAGGTTGCTATGTGTAAGAACCGACTGAAAGGCACTTAACAACAATATGGGAGCATGGTGGCTTCCTATGATAAGCACTGTACTGCGAATCACAAGGTCTGAGGTTCAAGCCCACCAGCCACTCTGCAGGAGAGAGATGAGGTTTTCTGCTCTAGTGAATATTTAAAGCCTCAGAAACCCTATACAGGGTCACTATGAGTCGGAACTGACTCAATGGCACATAACAACATTATTAATATGTTAAAGGATTATTAGAAAAAGTAGACAACTTGTATAAGAAGGTGGGGAATCTTAACAGAGATATGGAAAGTGTTAAGAGCTAAGTAGAAATACAGGAATAAAAAATATGATCAGCAATAAAAAATTCCTTAGATGGATCCACTAGTAGACTGGAAACATTTAGCATTAAGATTCAGTGAACTCGATAGTGGTGGTGATGTGCCACTGAGTCAGTTCTGACTCATAGTGACCCTGTTTAGGGTTTCCGATCGGGAGCAGAAACCTTCATCTTTCTCCTGCTGAGTTCCAGGTGGACTCAAAACTGTTGACCTTGCAGTTTAACAACCCAATATGTAAACCACTACACTACCAGGGCTCAAACTAATTCCCCCTCTATGTGTGCATGCATCACAGAAAGTTACAAAAAAAGAACAGATCATCCAAGAATTGAGGGAAAATACATGTATTCATGTTCTAGACAAGCAGCGAAAGAGAATGCCCTAGAAGGAAATTTTGAAGACTTAATAAAGTCAAGAATTCCACCCCCCCAAAAAAAAGCAAGACATCAATCCACAGATGCAAGAATTTCAAAGAACACCAGCAAAATATATTTTAAATTTTAATATTCATACACCTATATTCAAAGAGCTCTGGTGGCATATTGGGCTCTGTGTTGGGTTGCTAACAGCAAGTTCAGCAGTTCAAATTCACCAGCTGCTCCACGAGAGACAAAAGAGGCTTTCTGTTCCTGTAAAGATTTATAACCCTGGAAACCCTATACAGGGTTGTTATGATTCAGAATGGACTCAATGGCACACAACCACCACCACCACCACCGCAGCAATATTCATTATAAAGGAGCCTGTTCTGCTGTGGTGCTTTGGGTTAATGTGCTGGACTGTAAAGTCACTTTGAACCATAAGGTCAGTGGTTCAAGATCACTAGCCACTTCTCAGAAACCCTATATAGGGTCGCTATGGGTCAGAACTGACAAGACAGAACTTAACAACAATACAAGTACTAGTGGAGTCCTGGTGTAGTGCTGCAGGATAATGCACTGAGCCACAAGGTCAGGAGTTCAAACCCATCAGCTGCTCTTTGTAAATCCTATACAGGGTCACTATGAGTCAGGACCTACTCGATGGTACTTAACAACAACAATAACAAAGTAGTACTAGTACAGTAGTTAAGAGTTGGCTCTGCATTTCTGAAATGATGTTAACAGTTGTTTTAAAGTCTTTCTCTATCCTCTCTTCAACCAATACAGGTTAATTTCACAAGTTCCAAATGACCTCCCATTCTCCCCTACTCCATCACTGCTCCATACATGAAGGAAAAACAGTGAGCAGCAGATTATGGGACTGTACTAAACAATTCCAAGGAAAGTAAATGAGATATATGAAAAAGAAATAGGACCTGACCAAAGCAAAAGATAACTCAGTTCCTATTTATCTCCATTTGAAGTACTGAAATTATTTCTATATTTAAAAAAATAAAATTAAAAGTGATTGTGCAAGTTGTGTAGTGCTGTATACTATGCACTGGACTGCCAACTACCGCAAAGTTGATCGTTCAAATCCACCAGTCGCTCCTCAGAAACCCTACATAGAGTAGTAACAAGTTGGAACTGACTCCACAGCACTTAACAACAACAATTTAAAGAAATTACTATCAAAAGAGAAAAGGAAAAATGCAACCTACAGAATGTGTGAATGCAACTTGCAAAACATTTTCTGGTAAAGGGCTTGTAGGTAGACTATATAAATTTTGAATATAAACATATAAAACTCAATAATAAAAAGGAATCCAATCCCACTTTTAAATGGGCAAAGGAAATGAACTCTTTCAAAGGAAATATACAGTCAACAAGCACATGAAAAAATAATCAACATCACCAACT